TGGGCCTGGGGACACTGGTCTCACAGGGCAGGGGCAGATTCCGACCCCACAGGTGTCTGCCCAGGACTGGTAAGAGCAGGAGAGCTGGGCTGAAACTCAGGTTTGCGATTCCAAAGCTGAGATCTCTCCTAACGGCCTTGGCTGGACAGTTGTGTGCGTGTGCGCCTGGGTGTGTCGGTGCCGCTTCAGTAGGGAGAGGCTAGAGTCCAAAGCCCAGAAACCCGGCTGGGTGCCCTACACCCCACCCACGGTATATTTGTCCCCCACGAGGGTGCCCGGCCTTGCTGAAGGCCCCGGGCCAGTCACAGCCATGCTCAGGCTCCAGGTTGCCGGTCAGGGACGGATGGAAGCTGCAGAACGTTCTACCCCCCGTGCCACAGAGGCACCCTGTGGTTTTGTGCCCTTGTGAACATCCTGTGGACACCACACTAGCGCCCGTGGCAGCCAGCAGTGGTCTCTGAGCACTCAGCCCTTGGCCCTGGCCCACGGTGGCCCCACTTTGGGCCTCCTGCCCTGCCTGCTGGCCCTGGGTACGCTACACCTGTCCATCCCTGCCTGGTTCCCCAAGTCTCGTGCTGTCCTGCGCTGTTGTCCCCTCCCACCTCTGGACAGCCCTGCACTGACCGTTGTCCTGGCTTCCTGCAGCTGCGCCTGGCAGGTCCCTCACACCCGGCATCAGCCGCTGCTCTCTGGAGAAAGCAAAGCCCAGAGTCTGAGGCAAAGCTCTGCCTGCCCTTCCCTGGACACGTGGGCTGTGGCAGGGTGAAGAGCATCCCATCAAGTGGAGCTCAGCTGCTCTGCCTCCTCCCCTGTTGTGTAGTCTCCTACTGGGGGCCTCCCCACGGGCCCCTCAACCTGCTTTCCTCTTGGTGTGCCCTGGATCTTCTTGGTTCACCTGCCCAAGGGCTGCTGTGTGAGGGGTCTTCTGGTGGCTGGGGGTCACCAGGCTGAGAGGCCAGGCTAGGTCCCTTCTCTAGTCTCCCTGGTTGGCCACCAGGCTGGGGGGAGGACTCCTGGTCCTGCCCTTCCAACCAGGCCCCTGCTCTGGGACAGAGGGGCCACTGGGGGGGCTGCAGAACTGGCACTGCACCCGGCTGCTCGTTCCTGGTCGCAGGTTCATCTTGCTGAAATCTGAGGCCCAGGTGCAGCCAGGCTAGGCCAACATGCCCTCGGGGCAGGTTTTCCAGCAGGTCGACTTCAACAAGAGGCCAGGCCGCATGAGCGCCAAGCCCATCAACTTCGCTGTCGTCCTGAAGCTGTCCATTGTCAACCTACAGGAGAAGGCCTATCGGGTGAGGCCTCTGGCCTCCTGGGGAGGTCACATCGGGATGTCGGAGGGCACTGAGGCAGATGGGAGGGCTGCTCGCCCTCCAGAGGTCAAGTATAGACCTTCATGGCTCCCAGGGTGGGATGTCTCTGAGGCTCCTTTGTCCCCAGCCCAGTGAGCCTCAGGGTGGCTTCCTGGGAGGCTGGGAGCTCCTTCCTCCCAGGCCCTGTCCTGGACATCAGGCTGACCCGTCAGCCCAAGGGGAAGGGCCTGAGTGCTGCCCCCCCCCCCACGAGCCGTGACGAGCCCCACCCCCTTGCTGCCTAGGACGGCCTGGTTGAGCAGCTGTATGACCTCACGCTGGAATATCTGCACAGCCAGGCCCACTGCATCTCCTTCCCGGAGCTGGCGCTGCCTGCTGTGTTGCAGGTATGTGCCCACCCAGACCCCTGGGGGCCTGCCCTGTGGTGGGCTCAGCACGGGGCCGGTGGCAGAGCCTGGTCAGCTGAGGGGCTCTATGCTGGCACCGCCTGGCAGCTGGACCCCCCCCCCCAGGGTCACAGTGAGCCAGAGGTCATGAGGTGTTCTTGGGGGCCATGGGATTGGCTCTGGGTGAGGGAGTCTTAGCCACTTGGGAGGTTTGGGGCAGTCCTGGGTGGCTCACTGAGGACCCCAGGAGTGTGGCAGCTACTCTGGCTGGTCCCCTGACTGCGGGCTTCCACGGATTGCCCTGGGTGTGGGTGAGGAGGTGGGGGGGCTGTCCAAGAGATGGCAGGAAGACCCCGCTGCCACCCCTCCCCCGCACACCCCAGTCAGCCTCTTTAGGCAGGGTCAGGTGGGTGGGGTCTCCCTCTTCTCAGAAGCTCTTTCTGGGCCCCCCACTGGCGTGTTTGCTCTCAGCGTGGACGTTTCTCACCTCAGGGCAGCTCCCACCTCTCCTGGATCAGCTCCGCTGGTCACAGGCCGCCTTGGGCCGGGGGCTGCTCACACCTGAGTTGCGCCTGTCTCAGAGGCCAACCTGCGTGTGTGCACTTGAGCTTGCGCAGGGCACGCACGGCCACAGGTGCGCTGCTGGGGTTGCAGCCTTTGTCCCTCTGGGTCCTCTTAGCTGGTGGCGCCCGGCAGTCGGGCTACCTCTGCTTCTGGGCTCAAGGTCCCAGGGATGGGGGCTAGGGACGGGTTGGAAATGTCTTCAGTGAAGAGCCAAACCACAAATGTTTTAGGCTGTGCAGGCTACGTGGTTTAGCGCACGGTGGCCATGTGCCCCTAGAACTTTATCCATGGAGACAGGCAGCAGGGAGGGCTTGACCTGGGGATAGGCTGATTCTGCCCCCCTCCCCCAAGTGTACACGAAGGCTCAGACCAGTGGGATCCTTGTCCTGTCGTGTCCCCTGTTGAGCCACATGTGGTTCTGCTGGTGCCTGAGCGCCCCCCTTCTGCAGCTGAAGTCCTTCCTCCGGGAGTGCAAGGTGGCCAACTACTGCCGGCCGGTGCAGCAGCTGCTCGGGAAGGTGCAGGAGAACATGGAGCACATCCGCGGCCGCCGCCAGAGGGTCTCCTTTGGTGTGTCTGACCAGCAGGCAGTGGTCAGTTGGCCCTGGGGGGTGGTGCTGCCCAAGAGCATCTGTTGGGACGTGGCTGGGGTTTGAAGATTTGCCTGGGGTGGGGCATGGCCCTCAACTCCAGCTCCCCCCAGGATGTCTGGGAGAAGCAGACCCGGGAAGAGGGGACCCCGCTCACCAGATACTACAGCCACTGGCGCAAGCTGCGGGACCGGGAGATCCAGCTGGAGCTCAGTGGCAAAGAGCGGGTATGCCAGGGTGGGGGCTGGGCTTGGGTCTTGCACACTGGCCCTGACCTTAAGACACAAGTTTGGGGATAGGGATGACGTTGGTGGGGGGGGCGGTGTCCCCAGTTGCAGCCTGGCCCGGTGCTGGGCTTCCAGACAGGACAGTGACCCTGTGATTGGTCTCAGAGACGGGGAGAGGCAGGCGTTGCAGAACTGGCCAGAGCTGGGGGCTTCTCTCAGGGCTCCCAGGAGGGGGAGGCTGGTTCCTCCCCTCAGGCCTGATGGGCTGGGGACTCTGGGGCCAGATTGAAGGGCTTTGCTTCCTGCCCTGGACGTGGGATAGGTAGCATGTCCTAGGGTGCAGTCAGACTGGGGAGCAACGAGGTGGCCAAGCAGGGTCCTCGTGTGGGGGCTCGGATGGGGTCGGGTTGGGGGTTGTGGGTCTGGGTGAGGCCTGGTATCCCTGTCTGCACCGGCCTGGCCCAGGTGTGGCTGTGGGCTCCTGCCCACCCCCACGCTCTGGTTCTGGGCCCTTCCAGCTGGAAGACCTGAACTTCCCAGAGATCAAACGGAGGAAGGTGACTGACAAGAAGGATGAAGATAGGAAGGAATTTAAAGATCTCTTTGACCTGGACAGTTCTGAAGAGGACAGTGCTGAGGACATTGTTTTGGCTTTCTCAGAAAGAGGTGGGGCCTGCACTGGGCCCTGGGAAGGGAAGGGAAGGGAAGGAATATGGGACGCAGACAGTTCCCCCGGACACCCAAAGCCAGGGGGTCTGGCTGGGTGGGGCAAACTTCAGTGTTTCCTGGGGCCCGTTATTGGCTCCTTCCCTCTTAGGGTGACCTGTGTCCCCAGGCCTTGCACCCCCAAACTGTTCCCCAGGGATCCTCCATCTGCACCAAGCAGGCGGAGGCCCAGTTGTTCCTGCCAAGATGTAGTGGCCCTGGTGGGCGTGTGGGTGGGGCTGTGAGCCAGCCACCCTCCTGCCTTAGCTGCCCCTGTGTCTTTGCTGGTGGGCCCCTGAGGGGGAGTCACGTACACAGGCTCTGCTCCTTGGTCCCCAGGAACACCAGGGTCCCTGAGTGTTCGGCAGGAGGTGGAAGAGATGGAGGAGGAGGACAGCAGCAGTTCAGAAGGTGAGTGGTCCGGGGTGAGGGGCTGTGGCTCTGTGAGCCCATCTGGCTGGGAGTGCAAAGCTGTCAAGGATGCGGGTGGGTGGGCAGGGCCAGGGAGAGCAGCTCTAAGCCAGGCCCACCCCCTCTGCGGGATGCCCGGCCAGCTGCTCTGTTCTCACTGCTCCGGCAGCCAGCAGTAGCGGCAGGATAAATTAATTAGTGCCGTGATTAATTAGTGATGAGTAACCTCTAAGGCTGGCTTCTTCCTGATAAAGCGGAATTTGCGCAGCCTTGGTCTCTCCCCCAGATGGAGACGCAGACACAGACGAGGCGGGGCTTCACCCCAGGGAGCTGTGGCGGCTGGCCCAGGGGCCGGAGGACCAGCTGGAGGATCTGCAGCTCTCGGAGGAAGACTGAGGCGCCCTGAGGGAGCCCAGCATCTGCAGTGCCCGTGCAGAGGGGAGGCAGGAGAATGTTGGACAGGCTTTATTTTTACAGCAAAAAAGACCAAGATGTATGGAGAGCTGTGCTTGGGAGGCAGGTTGGAGAAATCAGCCCGCGAGGGAAGCTGGCCGTGGTGTTGGATTCACTGGGATCAGCCTGTCCAGGCAGGGGAGGTGCGTGCGACGGCCCAGCCCCTCCACTTCTTTTGTCTTTGTTGGGCTGCAGACCCCGGCAGCGCTGGGTTCTGCAGTCACCCCCACAGTCTTTGGAAACTCCATCCTTTCCTCTAAAGTCACATGTTTTCCTTTAAAAAATTCTTTGTTTTTGCATCCTAATCCAAAAGGAGAAATGAGCTGGAGGCGGTGGGGCTGCTGTGTCCAAGGTCGCCGGGGAGTTGGACAGCTCACCCCCAGCTCAGCACAGGGGCTGGGAGGGGTCTGGGGGCCCGGGGAGCAGAGCCAAGGTCCCATTCTCCTGCTTGGGTGAGGCTCGGCCTACGGAGGTGTGGCCCCCCCCATAGGGGGAGGGGGCTGTTGCTGGGGATGGGAGCTGCTCTCCTGCCCTGAGCTCCCGCTCTGGGCCCTGCAGGGTTGGTGGCTGCAGTGGCAGTGCCACCGGGAAGCTGGCCATGTAGAAGACTCGGCCCAGGCGCCTGGCCACCTGCAGAGAGATGGGCCGGGTGGGGCTTTGTGGCAGGGCTGGCCTGCAGTCACGGAACTGTTTCCCCCCACCCCCACCTTGGTCTGGGGATGACCCTGTCCTCACTCCCCAGCCGGCTCACCTGAGCCCGGATCTTGAGGGCAGGCCCCAGCTTCAGTCCCATGGTGGTCAGCAGGTGCTCCTCCGTCAGCAGCGGCAGGGTCTCCCCGTCTATCCCCTGCTCTCTGAAGACCTGGGGGACAGGGAACGGCCTGCTTGCCCTGCTGGGTTCTCCAGCTCAGCAAAGGGCCCAGAGCGGAGCCAAGAAGAGCTGTTTGTGCAACTTGCAAGAAAAATACTCCAAGGAAAGGAAACTCTCCTTTGAGTTGGGTTGGGAACAGCATCGAGCAGGATACAGCCCTGGCAGAGGGGTGGGGGGAACGTAGGTCCATGTCCCCCAACACACTGCTTTTGAGGAGGGGAAACTTGGGGTGGGGAATGGTCCTGCCCCACCCGGTCCTTTCCAGGGAGGGGAGAGTGACAGGCAACCCCACCCGAGGGACACGGGCCCCTCACCCGCGTGTACTCTGCACAGCCGGCCAGGCCCCCCACGAAGCTGCACACGTCGTCCACCGTCCACTTGCTGACGTCCTCAGGGGCAGCGGCCTCCTCTCCGTCCATGAAGAGTCCCCCCATGGCACCTGGGGGGGGTTACTAGGGCTCTGGCCACCCTCTCCCACACCCCCACCCGGCCTGCTGACTTTTGCCTGCCCTAATGGTTAGAAGTGCTGGGTCCCTGACTAAAAGGAATTTTCTCCCGCTGGCCCCTGCCCCCCAAGGTCCTCCCACGGGGTGGGGGCAGACTGAGTCTCCTTGCTGTGCCCCAGGGAGGGATCCAGAGCATGGGGGTGCCCACCTGTGTGGAAGTAGGGGCTGACGGCGTAGGGGAAGCCCAGGGGCAGCGTGGACGCTGAGGGCAGCCCCTTCCCCTCTGCGCTGGCCCCTCCAGCTGGGGCTTGGCTGGGGGTGAAGAGGCCCCGGCCCCCAACAGTGGCCATTTCCGGGTCCTCTCCATCTGAGTCTTTGGGGGGCTCGTCCTCGGAGCCATCTTGTGCCCAGACCCCCGCCCCTGTTGTCTCCTTGGACTCGCTGGGCCCGGTGGAGGCAGAGCTGTGGTCGCCTTTCCGGGGGGCTCGGCGAGCAGGCTCCCGGGGCGGGGTGGGGATCCCGGGTCCCGGGGGGCCCTGGGGGGGCAGGGCCAGCAGCGGCGCCGCGTTGTGTTTCAGCACCAGCATGGGCCCGCGCCGCGGCAGCTCCTCGGCGCCGTCGGGGGTGCGCAGGGCGGCCTCAGGCGCCAGCAGCTGCGGCCGCGCGCTCTCTAGCTCCTTCTGCCGCAGCAGATCCGCCGACAGCTCCAGCCTGGGCGGGGCGGGCCGGGCTGGGGTCAGCGGCCTCCCGGGCCCAGCCGTTCCCGCCGCCCCCGCCGCGCCCCGCCGCCCTACCGGGCCAGGTTCTGCTTCCGCAGGAGCTCCTGTTGCCGAGCAAACATCTCCGCCTGGGCGGGGGGCAGGAAGCCGTAGCCTGGGGGAAGGGACAGCGCAGGCAGGTGGCCGAGGGGCCCGCGGTGCCGGCCTGGCCCCCCGCATCACCCCGTCCACCCTGGGCTCCGACGGGGGAAGGTGCGAGTCCCACCCGCCTGGATGCGCGTCCGGGGACATCGAGGGCCCCGCAGGACACAGGGCGCACCCCGCCCAATCCTCACCTGGGGTCTGGCACAGAGCTGAGGACACCCCCAAAAAGGGGGGCCTGAGATGGGGGCCCAGGGCGATGTGAGGGGTATTCTGGGGCGACAGCAGAGGGGGCGGCTGCGGCAGCTCCCTGTGGGCGGCAGGACGGTGAGCGGCGCGTCCCCCACGCCCTCCCCCGATCCCCCATTCCCGGGGCCACCCCTCCCGTGCCCCTTGTCCCCCAACCCCCCGCCGCCTCTGCTAATTGCCGGCCCCCGGGGCGGTCGATGCGCTGCTAGTTACGGGTCCGGGTCGCGCGCCGCCGCCGCCCCCGCCGGCGGCGCCAATTAATCTCGGCGGCGGCGCAGAGGCGCTGACCCGGCGGGCGGCGGCGGCTGCAGCGGTAATTACTGCGCCCGGCGCCGGCCCCGCCTGCTCCCCCAGCGCCCGCCGCGCACCGAGGGGGGAGGGGCGTCATTAGCCGCAATCCGGGAGGCGGCGGAGGCGGCTGCACACGCCACGCTCTGCGGCTCCGCGGGGTGGGGTCCCAGCGTCTCCGGCGCCCCCGAGGCCCGCGCCCCGCAGAGCGTCGGTCCTCGGCCTCCGCAGGCCGACCCCGACAAGCCCGGGAGGCTTCGTCTGTCCCGTCAGCGGATCCAGCTTTTGAAATGGGGGTGCTGCCCATACCCCCCTCTCCGGAGGCCTCTGGCAGAACCCCTCCCGACTAAGGGGTTTCCAGGCCTCTTTGCCTTCCGCCTCTCCAGGGTCACCCCAGCTGTTCCTCAGGGAAACAGATGCCCTTAGCACTGCAGCCCCGCGCAGCGGTCACGCCCACGCACTCTGCCCGGAGTGTTCCTGGGCCTCTGCCCAGCTCCGCGGGCACCAGGACCCTTCTGCCCAGCAGACCCTAAACCTGGAGCTGAGGAAACTGCCCCGCACACTCGGGACGCTCATGACGCACGGCACCGTGGCTGTGCCGGGCTGGAGGTGGCCCAGTGGCTGAAAAAGTCTGGAGGCCCAGGCTGTGGCATGGCCTGTCCAGCCCAGGACAGAGCGTGGAGAACAGGGGGGCCTCTCCGGAAAGCACCCACCCCAGTACCTCTCTGAGAAGGACGGGGCAGCAGCTGCGGCGGTGCCCTCCCGGTGCGGAGCCAGGCCCTGCTTCCGGCGCTGACCTGCGGGGGATGAGGGCAGGTGGACTTCCAGGCCACTGGGGCTCCTCAAAGCTGCAGCTGCCACCTCCTGCCGGACCCTCAGGAGATCTGGGTGGGGGGACAACAAAGGTGACCCAAAGGCCGGGCTCCCCCTGGACGTTCCCCCATCCTGGTGAGCACAGGACACTGGCGAGGGTCACCAAGAACAGGAGCTTGGGGGACCACCACCTGGTCGTGTGCCAACCCCTGGCTGGTCACCCGGTCAGAGGCAGGAGCCACCACGGGGCGGAGGACACTATCTCAGTGAGGTGGGGGCAGGTGAGCTCTGGACCCCCTCCTGGCAGGGAGCAGCGTGGTGCGTGGAGGTCTTCTGGGCCTGGGGCTTCAGCCTTTAGGGGACTGTGCTCGGCAGCTCCTGGGGTGAGGGGCAGCCGGTCGGGAAGCTGCAGGGGCCCTGGGACCAGGGCTGACTGCCCGGGGACTCTGGTGGGAGGCAGGAACATTTGAGATCCTGGCGCTACACCGCTGGAGAAAGCTTGTCACACCGTGCACGGGACCGCACAGGCGGCAGCGCCCGGACACCGCCCGGCATGGCCGCTCTGGCGATGCGCACACAGCGTCCCGGACTCCCGTCTCTCCCGCCGCCCCCACTCACGGAGGCTCCGCCGCCGCCTCTGTTTATAAATTAATTACCCCAAAAGCGGAGGCGGGGCGCCCGGCCGGGTGCCAGCCCGCGGAGCCAGCCGGCGCGGCCGCCCGCATCGATCCCGGCGGGGCCCGGAGCCCCGGGGCCGGGTGCTTTGCTGCGGCTCCAGGCGGGGGCGGCGCGGCGTGATTGACAGCGGCTCCCGGGCGGCCGGCGCCCCCGCCCCCGCACCGCCCGCAGAGCGACCCCAGGCAGGGCAGGGAAAGCAATTAAAACGGAAGATTTTTAAATTATTAACATTTGGTGAATTATTCAGGCTCGTGGTGCCTGAGCTGCCCTGGGGGACGGTGCCTTGTGTAAGGAGAGGAATCCTGTTCCCTTCCTGGCGCCCCCACCCACCTCCGCCAAAAGAGCCAAGGGCAGTGGGTTGAGGGTGACCCAGAGAATGTCCACGGGCGGCGGGTGGACAGGGTCAGTCCCGGCGGCCAGGCTCCTGGATGCGCAGCCCGGCCCTCCTGCCGCGTCCGACCAGCATCTGCAGGTCAACGTCCCCTTGTGCACCCACTGCGGCCAGACTCGGCACACAGACCGCGGGGTCTTGAACCTGCTGTCCCGGGGAGGTGGAGACTGCCCAACCCCCCCTGCGCTCACCTGGGCTCGCCCGAGACTCAGTTCCCTCGTGTATAAAATGTGAGTTGCGTATCAGCGCTGGGGATCGTGGGGTGCGGCCTGGGGGCCTGGAGCAGGACTTCGGGGCAGGGGGTGGACCCCCACCTACAGGGCCAGCCACCACCCCCATGCAGTCCTGGCTTTGGTGTCAGCGGCCAAGCACCCAGGGGGAGTGGAGCCTCCAGGGACAGGGAGAGCCTGTGATGGGTGATGGGGAACAGTCTGGGGGGGGGGCAGTCATGCGCCGGGGTGGGGCGCTTACCGTGGCTGGGCAGACCCAGGTGGTAGAGACGCTGAGTGTCCTCAAAGCTGCCAGCCTCACTCAATGCCGACACAAGCCGGCGGTAGTGGTCCTCGGGGGCCATGGTGGGCCCCAGCTCTGGCAGCAACAGAGTCTCTGCGTGGCGAGGAGCTCTTTCAGAGATGTCCAGGGGCCCCTGTTAGAACCCTAAGGGACCCTCTGGGACTCTGTTATCCCCCTCCCTCCTCCAGCCAGTCCCCCGACTCCCAGGTCAGTTCCCACCTTGGGGGGACTCTCTCCGAGCCTTCTTCTCTGAAGAGCAATCACTGCCGATGTGGGGGGAGCGGCCCAGCCTCTTGCCCAACAGGTCACCTGTGGGAAGGCAGAGCCACCCCGCCCTGCATCTCAGGGCTTGGAGAGGAGGGACCTTGCCCCTGCCCCAGCACAGCCTGGGCTGCACCCACATTTCGTAGGGGTGCCCTTGGTCCTGGTGGGTTAAGGCCTTGCCCAGCCTGGGGCCCCACGTGAGCCCCCCGAGGGCATCAAAGTCCTGGGCCCTGGGGTGCGTGTGCACAGAAGTGACAGAGACTCACAGGCGGTCCCCACAGGCGCCCTGCTGCCCGAACCAGCCACTCCAGCCTCTTGTGCCAGCCACGGGGCCCCTCAGCAACCCGCTGGAGAAGAGCGAAATGCTTCTGGTTTGACCGGGAGCCGCCCTCCCCTTCCGGGGTCCCCTGCCAGCCTGGGGCAAGACAAGTGGGAAGGCGCACCCCACACCTGACCTCTTCCTGCCAAGGGACGTCACCTCTAGGCTGCTCTACTCCAGGCCCTCCTCCCAGTCACGTCTGTCACTGGCCCAGTCCTGCCTGAGCCAGCGTCCTGGCTGTGGCTGTCGCACGTCTGCCCACCTGCCCTGCCAGGCTCTGAGCTCCCAGCGGGCACACAGAGCAGCCTTGCCCCTGCATGTTGCCCCCACGTGCCCGGCCATGAGCCCCAGCCCAGAACACATTCCGGCCCCCCCAGAGGGAAGGCCCAGGCCAGGCAGGTCCCATGTCCATCTCCGGACCAGACCCTGGCTCTTCCATGACCAGCCTCCCTTGGGCCTCTAGACCCCACGTGCTGGGGGTCTCTCCTGAACCCTGGAGCCTCTGCCTCGGGCCCCTTGCTGTCCTCACAGGCTTCTGGTGACCTGAGAGGCCCCAAACCTGCCCCTCCCAGCCCTGCCATCAGCTCCAGAGCCTAATTCCTTTTTCTTATTCCCTTAATCTGTCATTTTTATCAGGCTGGGAAGTGCGGCAGTGGGAGAGTGCCGATCAATCTCCACATTATAGCTGACAGAATGGTGCTAATAACTTATTGATCTCAGCCACCCTGTGGCCACTGGCCCGGTACCAGGCCCTGCCCCAAAGAGAGGGATGGTCCCACGGCCTGGCGGAGGGGCAGATCTACCAGCCTCAGTGGCAGGTCAGGGCAGTGGAGCCTGGGGGTCCAGGGGGCACTGGCTACACTTGGGCCAGGGGGACACACTGCCGAGGCCCTGAGGATGCCACAGCCCTGCAGCCTCCATCTCAGAGCCTGGGCAGGGTTGGTGCAGCCACGCTTGCCCCTTCAGCGTTTAGCAAGGGAAACTCCCTCTCTCCGTTCTCTTGGGGGTTGTGGGCTCCTCACAGCCTGGGGAGGTGACCCTGGGAGTGGAGGAGGACCCACAGCGAGACCGGGCCCTGTGGTTGCCGGAAGGCTGTGATGAGGCCGTGATCGGGACACTCTGGGGCAGGCCTCAGAGGCAGGCGAGGGACCCACCCTGCCCAGGGCCCAGGGAGCAGGGCCCAGTGGTGGTGGGGCCATCGTGTTTGGGGAGGGGCCGGGGCTGGGGCCTCAGGAAAAGGATTGACATGAGGTTCCTGGGGTCATAGGAAACAAGAAGAGGTGACCAGGACAGGTAAACGCCCCCAGGGGAAGCCCCGGGGAGAGCCAAGGCCCTGAAGTGGAATGCACGTGTGAAACCCGCCAGCGCTGGCGGCACTGCAGAGCTCGTGTCCCTGGAAGTCCTGGAAGTGCGCGCGGCGCACCCTGCACTCTGTGTACTGGGATGACGGAGTGTGGCTGGGCGGTCCCCAGACAGGGGGCGTAGAGGGGCACCTGGGCCGTGGCCCCTGGCTGGGAGCAGGTACACACACGCCTGCGCGTGCCTGAGGAGGTCTCCGTGTGTGCAGGCGGCGGGGAGGGCATGCTGGCTCAGAATATCTCAATCATTGCGGGGGCTCCCTTGGCTCTGCCTGATCGATGGGGCAATTAGATTTTATCAGCAGCCTGCTCAGCCACCTCCGATGGCTCCAGAAGCAGTCCCCCAGCCCAGCCCCACAAAGGCCTCCCCAGGCGCAGGCCTGCAGGGGGCACGGACGGGGCTCGGGAGCCCCAGGAATGAGGCCCCCACCCTGTTGGAAACATCCCGGCTCAGGGCGCGAGGGTGGAGGGCCCTAACTCCTTCTGTGGCCAAGTCCTCCCCACCTGCTCCTGTGGGGAGGGCCTGGGTCCCCAGCTGCCCCCGCCCTCTGAGCTCCTGCTGCCCCTGTGTGGTGACGACCCTTGGAGGCAGGACCAAGGCGGCTCTATGGGGTCCTGTGTGGGGTTAGCCATTCCGGGGGTGTGCATTTCTGAGAGTCTGAGGCCCCGCCTGCCTCTGCCGCTGTGAGGAGGGCTGGCCTCAGCCACTCCAAGCCCCCCCAGCAGCGGCAGCCACGGTGGAGCCACCGCCTCTGCCTCCTGTCTGCCTGGCCAGGCTGGCTGGGATTAACACAATTACCATCACATGGAGCCCCAGGGGACAGCCGCCCGCACCTCCTCCTCCGCTGGCCTCCCTGGCCCCCTGCCAAGGCTGCGGTGGGGGGGGTGGCAGCGTCCAGAGCTGCTGAGCAGAGGCACCGGCTGTCCTCTGGCCCAGCTGCCCTGTCCTCGCCCTCGGGCCCGGGCTCCTCACCTGTGGGTCCCAGCCCAATCTCCACGCTTCCTCTCTGGAATTCACAGCGGCTCTGATGCTCCGGCATCACGAGGTGGCGGCTGCGATGGACGCTGGATATGAGGGTGGGGAGACTGCTGTCCTGGCTGCAGCAGAGCGAGACAGGCAAGGGCAGACCCCGTGAGCAGCCGCACAGGCGTGTGCCCAGCTTGGGCACGGTGAGTGCCGGCCTCTGAGTGCGGCTACGCTGTGTGCATGCCTCTGCACTTGGCCCGCGCTGCTGCCGTGTGCACCCATGCAGGGCCGGCCCAAGCGATGTGGGGACCTGATGCTTGGACCCCAGCCTGCCCCCCGCCTTGCAGGCCCACCAGGCAGGGGGACCCTGTGCAGGACGGGGGCTGCTCCTGCAGGGCAGGCCCAGAGAAGATACGCCTGCCTCAGATTATTTGGATTAGGACTTGCAAGCACTCCCTGACCCTCAATTTCTTCAAATGAGGGAGCTGAGGTTCAGAACACAGTCCTGCAGCCAACTAGATGCTCACATGTGCACGCGGCACCAGCAGACACATGCGACACGCACACGCGACTCACACTGCGCCCGCCCGTGTGCTCAGGACGCCCTACTGTCCCCCAGGCAGGTGTGGGCTTGGAATAAACATGCGCTTAACTCTTTTGTTCCCTCCTTTCTCTTTTCTTGCTAAATCCGTGGAATCCCACAGGCACAGAACCCCAGAGCAAAGGGAGCGAGTCCCCCTCCCCACCAGGGTTCTTCCGCATCTCCCCTGTTCAGCACGGGAGAGGGCAGGGGAGGAGGGAACAACGGACTGGCCCTCCCCAGCACGCGCCCCCTGCCCACCTGTAACGGAGCCACCGCCTCAGCTGCGCTAATACTGGTGGGGCCTCCACGCAGTGACCTGGGAACCGACCCTAAACCTCATTAAATAGCCCCCAGCCCCCCTGGCCTGGGCTGGCTGGAGCTGAGCTAATCCAGGGCTGGCCCCTAAGCAGATCAGTTTTAGCACCAAAGACTCCAGGGCTCCAAAGCCTCCTGGGAGACCCAGGTGCCGCCCCAACCCCTAGGAGAGCCCCCGTGTGCCCAGGAGGGCGGGCGGGGGGGGAGTAAGTGCTTTATGGGATTAATTGGTAGTCTCATCCCTGCCGTGGCCCTCATCGACACAGGGGTGTTGAGAGAGAAGTGCTGTCCTCAGCATGGGGACGTGGGCGGCGGGCCAGCCTGGCCAGGGCCGCAGCTGCCGCAGAGTTCTCCCCTGAGGGGGCTCCCCCGCTGCTGTCCCAGGACGCCTGCAGGAGGAGAACTAGCATCCCAGGGGCAAGAGTGGGCCAGGGCTGTCCCGGCCGCCCATTGCGTGTCCATAAAGGAGGTGAGGCCGCTTGAGCCGCCATTCCCTGGCCAGTCATTTGGGCACGCGGGGGTGGTGGTGCTGTAGCAGGTGACACCCAGTGGGGATCTGGGCGCCACCCACACTCTGCCTCAGGGGTTTGCTTCTCAGGCCCCAGACAGTCCCTGAAAACCTGTCCGGTCACTGGGCCCTGCACTGAACAAATAATGTGAGGAACTGCAAAGAAACTCCGGACACGCCAGACTGAACATGCAGAGCACACAGGAGCCCTGCATGTGGTGCACAGCCGGAGGGGCTCTGGCCATGAAACTCTCTCCTCACCGCCACGCCCAAGGGATGAAGCCCACTTGGCTCTCGGGGTCTCCGCCACACGGTGGGGTTGGGTGGGGGCACGGGGGTGCAGCCAGGACGGGATGGGAGGCCCAGGGAGGGGAGGGTGTGGGAGGCTGGTCAGACCCTGCCCCTTGCAGCCCCCCCACCTCAGGAGGACCGAGCAGCCTCTGTCCTCGCCCACCTCCCCACACCCCCTTGCACACAACGGCTCTCACTGCAGAGCCAGACGGAGGGATGGAGGGACGGATGGATGGAGATCGGTGGATCGAAACAACGCACACGCAGACGGAGGTGGACAGAGAGATAGGCATCAAGAGACAGAAGGACTGAGGGACGGCTGGAAGGGCAGCCCGAGAGGAAGATGGAGCCTGGGGCAAGGTGGGCCGTGGGCTCTGTGCTGCCCACCCCGGCCGCACGAGAAGCTGGTGCAGACGGGCTGTCAAGTCAAGGGCACGGTGCACCTGCTCCCTCCGGGAGCCCTGCTGGCCCTCGGACCACAACCTCCCCTTTGGTAAAGCCAGAAAATCTTTCTAGCCCTGCTAGGGCCGGTGCAGGATGGAAGCAGACCCGGCCCTTCCTGGCAGCACCCAGGCACCCCACGGACCCTGCACCCGGACACCTGGGCTCCCCATTCCCGAGGTGGGTGGATGGGGTGGGGGTGTTGCAGGTGGCAGGAGCTGTTCCTGGGGTGGGAGGCACCACCGCCGGGCTTCCCTACAGGGGCCTCACTGACAAATTTATCCTGTAGTGTCCCAAGTAAAAGGCTCATAAAATGTCATCAATGTTCATGACGGTTCATAAAAATGATCAGTTGAGCTGGCAACTCCAAAATGAGGTGGAAATAAGTTTAAAGATGTTTTTATTGTAATTCGGTTCCAGGATCCAGACGTTCTCAGAGACATAAATAATAACACAGCTGGCACAAAGCCAGGACGAGCCCCGCCCGCCGTGCGGCTGGGCTGGGAGGGGGCCCCAGGGAGCTGGCCTTCCTGCTGCGTTGCCCTGAAGCTACGGGGCAAGATGTGACCCCACTCACCACTGGCTGCACCTCTGGAGCCAGGAACTTGGGTCCCCAACACACCCCACCTCCTCCTCAGCTCCCTTCGTTTTTCTCTTTGCCACATCTTGGACTTGCACCCCCCATCCTGCTTCCACAGCCTGAATCCAACCCCCAACCTGCTGGGGGGGGGCCTCCAGAAGGACCTTTTCAAAACAAACTCCTGGTCATTGCCCTGCTCAAGAACATTCTGTGGCTCACTCCTGCCTGGAGGACAATGCCAACAGGCCCAGCATCCAAGGCCCTCTAACATCCAGTCGAGCCAGACCTGACATGTTCATCCCCTCCTCCCCTCCCACACCCCTTCCCTCATTCCTCCACATCTTTGCAGACACCTCCTTTCCTTAGTGAACGCCTACACATCCTTCGAGACCCCACTCACACATCACCATTCTCACCTCCTGACAATCTCTGGGAGGTCGTGGGGAGCTCATAGCCTCATCTCTGGGCAGTTGGGTGTGAATGGACAGTGCTATGTGGGGTGGGTATGCTCTGGCTCTGGGGCTGGCCACCTCCCTGGCTGGGTGAGAACTGCACAGCACACCTCACACCTGGCAGGGGCTCAGCCAACACCAGCTCACGCTAGCTGAGACGGTGGAGGACAGACAGCTGACCACAGACAGGGAGGGAGGGAGGAGGCCGGAGAGCCTCAGGGGCAGACCCTGGGGAAGTGGAGCAGCAGGTGCCACCCTGCCCTGCCCGGCGTGGGGGCCCGGCCCAGGCTGGGCCCTACCTGCAGGACGTCTCTCGGAAGGAGATGTTCACATCCCAGTGGGTGTGGACTCTGTGGGGAGAGACGCAGAGTCACCGTGGGCTCCTGCGGCCCCTGGAAAGCAGGTGTGTGCGGACCTGTCTCTGGCACCCTGGCCATGAAGGAGGGCGCTGCCGTGTGTCCAGCACTGTCTGCACAGGCTCAGCCTGAGGGTCTCCCACCAGGACAGGCCCACAGCTCCAGAGCCGGCCGCAGACGCGTGAGCAGGGAGAACAGGGCCGAGCCCCTCCTGCCTGCTGCTGACGCAGTGCACTTAGTGGTGCTGGCCTCTCCTGCTTAGTCGCCTGCCTGAAACCCGACCCCAGCTGCTCAGGGGGCCGGGCCAGGCCAGGGAGCGACCCTGGCCACAGCTGCCACCAGCCCAAGGCGGAGGTGAGCCCAGCAGTGCAGGCCCCTCAGACAGCGTCCCACAAGGAGCCCCGCACAGGGACACCGGGCCAGCGAGGACATGCCTCATATAGGACACCCAAAAGACCTGGTCTGAGGGGCAGCGTGGGAGCCAGTGTGGACGCTGTCACCTGAGCGGCCGACCTCGATGCCCTCACCCTGCCGGAGCTGTGTGCTCTCCCGCCCAGCCCTGGCCAGGTACCTTCTCTTCATGATACGGACGTGCGGGTCGTCCTCCTGCTTCAGGCCCGGCCTCCGCCCGCAGGCCGGGCCACTCCCATCACTGTCACCATCACTGGTGGAGAAGTTGGGGGTCCGTTCCTTCTTCAGGACCCGTGGGGGCGGCAGGGCGACTGTCCGCTTGTCTGCCAGCCGCCCCCGGTTCTGGGGAGGCGAGAGGAGAGGGAGGTGAGGCTGCTGGGCTTGGCCATGGCCTCAAACCCCAGGCCGACCCCCAGGCAGGGCCTAGCCGCGCAGAAGCCAGGGCTACAGCCGGCCAGAGACCCAGAGGCAGGGCCTCAGGCTGGGGCCCCACGGACACTCGGCCCTCCCACCCCAAGGTGTGCCGTGGAGGGTGTGGCCCGGCAGCCTCCAGCCCAGCTCCACCCCTGTGCTCCCTTAAGTCCCTGGGGTCTCCTGGGATACGCGTGTGCAGCCTGGGCCTGGGCTCCAAGGGCCGGTCCTGGTTGCCGCACCGGCAGCATGCAGTTTCCTCCGTGTGTGCCTGCTGGGCAAGCCCCCGTATTCTGCATGAACCCCCAAAGCAACACCAACGTCCACAAGCAAAGTCCCTTTTCTGTTTTGTTAGCGCCACACAGAGCCCAGCTCAGGGGCTGCTTGCAACCTTGGGCTTGGAGAAACAGTCTGAGCCTGCTGACCGCCTGCAAATTGCAGGCCTGGGGTTCAGAGGTCATCAGACGAGGAGCCCTGACTGGCCCAGGCCCTTGTCCCCCCAGGCACAAACCCCTTTTCTCCCCCTCCCCCTCCCAAGGAGTGAGTGTGTGGAGCTGCAGGTGCCCCGAGCTGGAAGCGCGGAGCTCACACACATGCCAGCAACACACTCAGTGCTGTGCACAGAACAGGAATGAGTGTGCAGCCCCTCCACCTCCGGGGGAAAGAAGAAAAGTTATTGATTCTTTCCAGTGGGCTGGAGGCTTTTTCTTATTTAATAACAGGCTGCTGGCTCGGGAGGCAGCAGAGGCCTAATGAGTGCCTAAGCCCCTCTCCTCTACGCAGTCATGGGGGTCTCCTTGGACCGCTTCCTCCCGTTGCTAGAACACACTCTCAAGCTTGAGCAGGAGGGTGTCAAGGAGGGACCCCCTCCACAGCCCCACCTGGAGCCAGTGTTGTCCAGGCCGGCTGGCCCAGCCGGGGCAGACCTGGGACCACCACTACCTCCAGATGCACAGCCTCAACCCCAGCTTGATTTGGACAAGGGTCCAGGAGCTGAAGTGTCCCCCCTGCCTGGGCCAAAGTGCCCCCCTCAGTGTCCGGAGCCATGGTCCCCCCACACCTGCCCTCAGGAACCCACCGGGCCTGCCCTGGCACCCTCCGTTCTCCTCTCCGCAGCACACTCAGCGAGATGGACCCAGCCGTGCTGAGGTGAGTGGGCAGGGCAGGGGGTTCTGAGGCAGGCCTGCAAGACAAGAGGGCTCCTTCCCTTGGCTCCTGCTGAGCCCCTGCCCTGGCCTTGGCCCCGTGCATACCAGCGGCCACACAGCCTATCACAGCCTAGGCATCGGGACCTCGGAGGCTGACACCCTCTCCTCTCCCACCTTCCTGCTTTAAGTAAAATATTCTCTTTAGAAGAGGGGATGCATTTCCCTTGCTTCTTGTCTACAGGGCGGGAAAGAGGCGAACGCCAGGGCCAAAAGACCGCCCTTTGGAAGGAGGCCAGAGTTGGTCGGCTGGGAAGGGAGCCCAGGCTGTGTGCCAGCCTCAGCACCGTGACGCACAGAGCCGGGCGTGGGGACATGCCAGCACCCCAGCCGGGCCCTGAGGGCACCCAAGAGGGCAGATCTGGGGTGGGCGGGGGTGGGGAGGACCAGAATGGCCATGCTGGCCTTGGCACTGCCCAAGGACAGGGAATGCACACTCCCCCCACCATGGAGACCTCAGCCAGCTCACCCCTGCTCCACAGCACACAGGTTTGGAAACTTGATCCTTGACCAAGAGCTGGCCCCTGCTCAGATGGTGAGGGGAGGCTCGGTGTGCAGGGTCCCTGAAGCACGTGCCATATTCTGTCCCTGGAGTATCTGCCCACAAGGTGTGCACACACTGGTGGACCTGGCTGTGGGACTGGGGGAAGACAGCCACTGAATGAGAAAGGTGGGGCCCACGGAGCTCCTTCCTAAGGGAGGAGTGCAGGGACAAGCCTGGGGCCCCCTCTCCAGCACCAACTTCCTGAAAGAAGGGAACCGGGACTCTTGCCTGGGCAGGTGTGTGACAGCGGGCAGCGGCAGGCTGTCTGAGGAGCTCTGTGTGCAGCAAGCCTGCGTGTGCCACGAGCACGTGTGTGCTGTGTGTCTCTGTGTGTGTCTCAGATCGTGTGTGGGGTGGGCACCCGGGCGAGGGGCAGCTGCATCCCCATTCCCTGCCCAGCATGCTGTGCGTCTGAGTGCCCGCCTGTCCTCACAGGTGCCGGCCCTCAGGAGGAGCCCAGGACTTCCCCTCCCCCACCCCACCCTGGGCCCAGGGTAAGGCAACCCAGGGTGGCCCTGGGTTCTCTCCCACGCCTTCCTGTGGGAGAGGGTTGCTGAGTGTGCCAAGAAGTGCGGCCCCCACCCCCCCAGGGGCTCCAAATTGGTCCCTCTCAACAGGCAATTGCCTTTGCAAATCAATCCCCAAACCCTTGATGCCTGGGGAGCAGGGGATATGCATGCCTGATCAGGAAGGCAGCACCCAGCACCCCAGTCCCTCCTGCTCCCCGAGGCCAACAGCTGTCCATCCGTGGTTGAGACCTTGAGCCAGCCTCAAACTCCAGTTCTCTGGACACCAGAGGCCCACACTGCAAAGACCCTGCCCCTGACAGGGCTCCAGCCCTCTGCACCCACAGACACATCACTCACACCCACGCCTGTGACCACCCCGGAACGCACATTCAGGCCAGCCAACACTGTCACACTTAGAACTAGCACTTCTCCCAGCTGGGCCAGATGGCACAGTGACCCCCAGACCTGTGACAGGGACGTCCCCAGGCCCAAGTTGGATGACACTACCCAGGGAGAAGATTCGTCACCCAGGACAGGAGGAGAACCAGCTCCGAGGAACCCAAGGGGGGGATGGGATGGGCACGGCCCGCCATGCATCCGCCTCCATCCGGGTACAAGGACCGGGACAGCACAGAGCCAAGCCCCTCCCCCCACCTGCCCTGCGAGCTCTCTCCAGCACACCTACGGGCTTGCGGTTGGGACTCCCACCCTCAGGGCGCCGCAGGGGACGACGATCCCCGAGCCCCACCTATCCCCCACATCTCACCACCGGGGAGGATATTCGACAGCCCGGACAGTCGCAGATCGGAGGGTGCACCTGCAGAATCCCCTTGGACATAAGCGTCTTCAGACTTTTCCCTGCGAGGAGAGCCGAGGCAGACCCGGTGAGGGAGCGTCTGAGCGCAGTCCGCTGCTGGGCCAGTCCCCTTCCCGGCACGTGTATGAAATACACACCGGCCCCCACACCCACCTGGCCCAAGTTCCTAGCCCGCGCGCGCCACCCTCACAGGGCTGCTCTGCAACTCAAGTCGGGCGGCGCGTCCGCTGATGAAGGGCGGCCTCCTCCCCGCCCCTGCGCCCCTCCTCCCGCACCGCACCCTCTCCAGGCGGGTCCCGCGGGACCCGGAGCAGGGCGGGGAAGGACGAGTCGGGAGCAGGAGAGCGGCGCCGTCGGCTGGGCCGGGTCTACACCCGCAGCAGGAGGGGCGGCCGTTGCGGAGCCGAGAACCGCTAAGCGGTGCACTGCGGGCCCCTAACTTTCTAACTCCCCCACGGCGCCTGTCGCTCACTGCACCGCCGGGGGTTGGCATCAGGCGCCCCGCGTCGCACCCTTGGAGCCAGGCTCCTGCAGGCGCCCAAACAGGCTTCGCGGGGTCCCGCCGCCGCCTCTCGGGCTCCGCGCGCGCGCCCGCCCCGACACTCGCCCCCGCGGCCCCCCACCTGCCCGCGCAGCCTCCACCAGCGCGCACTCGCGCCCGGCAGCGCGTGAGGCCCTCTACTCCCGCCGGAACCCGTGGTCCCTCCAGACCGGCCTCCCACCTGCTCTGCCGAGTTCCCATAAACTTCCGCTGGGCCTTAAGGCCCAGGAGCCCGGAAAAGACCTTCCGAGCGGAGGGAGCGGCCCGCTCTTGCGTAGCCGGGCGCCCCAGGGGACCGTGGCCCGAGCTGGTGGGTCGGCGGCGGCGGAGGGCGCTCTACTGCGTCCAGCAAGGCGCCTGGGGAGTGGGGTCCCTGCGGCAGCCCCGGAGTTGCAGCGCTCCTCTGGGCCGACATGGGGTCTCCCAGGTGGCAGAGTGAGGGGTCCGGACCCGCGGGTCCCGGGTGGTGGAGGAGAGGGACGGCGGCGGCCCGCGCCCCCAGCGCGGCGCACCTTTGTGGCGGATGCTGCGCTTCCAGTCTTTGGCCGTCTCGCGGCCGCTGACGAACTGGAACTCGTTGGGCGTGAGCCACTCGCCGCGGTGGCGGATGGACGGGCCCTTGCTGCCCTGGCAGAGTTTGCGCACGTAGAGCAGCGCGCGGTTGGCGCCGCACTCCACCTCGATGCACGGCTCGCCGTTGTCCAGCAGCGGCTGGAAATCCGGGGCCGCGGCTGCGGGCGTCGAGAAGCGCTCGAGGGCCAGCGGGTCTCGGGGCAGGTGGAGGTGCGGGGCGGCCTCGTGCAGGCTAAGGTAGGCGCGCGGGGGGCGGAGTGGCGGAGCCAACAGCGCCTCGTAGCCGGCGGCCGAGGCGGGCAGCGAGGCGGCCGGGGGCAGGGCTGCGGCGGCGGGTAGTGGCGCCAGGTAGCCGGGCAGCGGCGGCAGCGGCAGTGCGGCCAGCGTCGGGTGGAAGGTGGCCAGAGCGAGGGCCAGGTCCTCGCGGCCCGGGAGCTCCTTCTTGACCGCCGGCATGGCGCGCCGGTGGCCCCGCAGCCCGGCTTTCCGCCGCCGGCAGCAACTTATTCCGGCCTGGGCTGGAGTTGGGAGGCGGGGGCGGGGGCCCCTGGAGGCGCCTGGCCCCGCGCCCACCTTGCCTGCTACTGCGTCCAGGCGCCCGTGGCCACCGCCGCCGCACCGCCGGCCAGGCCGCCCTGGACTGCTGCCCGGCCGGCTGGCGGGGCCCTGGCGGCCCGAGACATGGTACTGCCGGAGCCGCTATCGATCCTGGATCGACTCGCCGAGCGCTGCAGCTCCAGGGCCCTGGGGCTCCGCGGGGCGTCGGAGTCCCGCCCTCTGGCCACCTGCGCCCGCGCCCTGGGGGCAGCCCCGCGGCCGGCGGTGAGGAGTCGCGGAGCCGCCGGCCCCTCTCCCCGCCCCGCCTGGGAGACTCAAGCCCCCGCCCCGCCCCGCCGCCCGGGTCGCGTCCACTGGAGCGCGCCCGCCCGGCGGGGACTTGGGAGACTCCGCCGCTGCCGCCGCCGCCACAACTTGGCCGATTTAAGCGGCCCCGGCGCGGCGGGCGGGCGCGGGCTCCAGCAGGGGTTGCGTGACGGCCGACAGGGCGCACACGGGCGGCGGGGCAGGGCTGCACCGATAGCCCTACCCTGGGCGGGCGAGGGTAGGAGGAAAGGAGCCCCCGGGAGGCGGATGCGAGCGCGACGGAGCCCGGAGCACGCGCGGAGTCACGTTTGGGCGCGACTGGAATCCAGGCCCCCACGTGGGGGGAGGCGGGCCGGGTTGGCGGTTGGGACGGCCGGCGCTGGCTCTGTGGGTGCGAGTGCGCGCTGGCGGCTCTGGGTGTTTGCCCAGCGCGGTGGGCGGTGGGCATCAGTGTCGGGAGGGTGTGGGTGGTCTCAGTGCACCTGCAGGAGGAGGTTGGGGTGTGCTGCCTCGCTGTGTCAGGGAGGGCTTGTGTTCTGGGAATAGCAGGAGGACAGCAGTCTCCCCCAGTTATTGTCCCCGTACTATGCACTTTGTGTCAGTTAATGTGACATGCCTCTGTGAGGTTCCTTATTATCTCCATTCTGCAGATGGGGAAACTGAGGCAGAGAGATCAAGTAACTCTCCTGAGGCCTCACAGTTTCAAATCCAGGATGTTTGACTCCAGGACAGTCGGGGCAAGAAGGTGGGGCGGACCCTAAAGGGGTGGGGGTATGAGCAGGAGGGTGGCAGAGTTCAGTGTGCGCAACAGCACGCTTGTGTTCCCCACTGGGGCAAGTCTGGGGAAGAGGGACCTGCCCCACCACGTCCGCCTGATGCCTTGGGCAGCAGGTCAGCCTGGGCCCAGGCCAGCGATGAGGGTGGACCTGGCTAGCTGCCCGGGCCTCCCGCACCTCCCTGCCTACCTGCTGGGAAGAGAGGCCCAGCACCCACTGGCTTTGGTAACAGCTGCCGGGACAGGCTTGCCATGTTGCATCCTCTGGAGAGCGGCCTCATACCCAAGCCTGCGCCTGGCCCCGCGAGACGCACTGTCAGAGCATCTCCTGACCAGGCTGTAGGGGCCAAGCCAGATCCCAGGTCTTTCTGCACAGGCACCTTGTTCGAGGGAGGGAACAGCCCACCCCCCACCTTCTCCTTGACCTGGGCACGAAGCTGACCACTGGTGACCACCCATAACTCACGCGGCCCACCTCATCTCAGCCAAGGCTCCGCTGGCCCCAAGGCCGACCTGGGGAGTGAGGTCTGGGCCAGCTGTGCTCTGCGCAGACCAGGACTGTGTTTGGGAGCTGTGTGCGCACACCCCTTTGGGCCCTTCAGTTGGGACCACTCTCCCTACATCTGGCCGTTGGGGTCTGAGGGGCCAGGTGGAAATGTGGGGTGAACGTGGTAACATCACCCTGTCTGCAGCCTGGATACCAGCATCCCCCTAACCCCAGGCATGGCAGCCAGCAAGCCCCTGTGCCGTCCCCTCCACAACCTGTGTCTGATGGACGGAGGAGGCTGCCCTGCCACAGAGAAGCCACGTGCACCAGCTCTGTGTGCCCACTATGTGCCTGCAGCTCTGACCCTACTGCCAAGACACTCCCCCAACTGCCCTGCTTCCCGTGGCTCCTGCACCTGCCTCCTGAGCCGTGGCCTGTGGCTGGGGAGGCCCAGGCCCCCACGGCAGCACAACTGAGGATCTGAAGCCTTGGCCCAGGCCTCTTTTCTGACGTGGGCCCATGGAGGTGCCCCCCTCACTTCTGTAGGACCATCCCTTGCCCGCCCTGGTCCTACCCCCAGACTGAGTCTCCTCACCTTCCCTAGGGACTTGCCCCTTCCTGGCCTGGGCCACCTGGGCCCCGCCTTCCTCTGCACTCAGACTGGAAGCAGAGGATGGAGGCACAGAGTTTTGGCAGTAGAATCATCCCCAGCTTGGCCTTCCTGCGGGGCAGAGACATAGCTGGTGTGGACACCACGGCCCCTCCTCTGACTACGAGGCCGTGTTGTTGTCGCTGCTCCCGGGCCCCCCACTCGGGGCCCTGCGCTGCTGGGCTGAGGCCAGGGCTGCTGCCAGGAGGGGGAGGAGGGGTCATAAATAACCCCAGGGTGGCTGGCGGTGCAGACGGTGACCCGAGAAGTCCTGGGGGAGTGGGGGCAGCCTGCCTGGCTCCTTTCAGTCCCCTTCTCACCCACCCCTCTGTCAACCCGTCAGCCATCTACTGAGCCCCAAATATGGTATATAGCCCCAGGAAGAGATGACCCAGAGGTGTGGTAGGGAGGAGAGAGAGACACGAGGAAAGCCATGTCCAGAGTCCACAGGTGCAGCCCGGAGGTGCAGGTAAGCAGAGTGCAGGTCTGCGCCTGGCCTCAGCCTTCCTGAGCTCACCAGAAGCTGGTGATGGAGGGGGCTGGGGTGCAGGCACAGATGCCCCAGAACAGGGAGAAGTGTAGGACAGCTCATGCGGCCCACAGGTGTGGGCGAAGCTGACACAGGTGAGGCACACCTGTGTGCGTGTGCCCAGCCACCAACCATTGCATGCATGCCCAAAAGCACACGCAGGCAGAACCCACACGTGTGTGCCAGAGCAGGTGCACGGACATACCCTGCAGAGCCCACACAGATGCCGACAGCTTCACCACAAACACCAGTGCAGACGAGACATATGCTAGACAAACTGCAGATACTCCCAAGGCCTGCGCACAAAACACACGCAGACAGATCTGCAGACACCGCACCAGATGGACTCAGCCACGTGCTGGTCAGCCAAGACAGCATGTCCAGTGCAGGGGTCAGTTTGCAGTGTGGTTGGACTGGGAAGGGTTAACTTGGGAGGTCAGGGCCAGGGGTCAATCAGCTGGGATCCCTCTGACATTCCTGCAAAAGTGGCTGGAACCTCCAGGAACGTGTCTGCTCCTGGCTCCTGGTCAGACAGGAGGGGCTGCCCTGCTGGAACATGCCTGTGCCCTGCCGGCTCTGAGCGGGCCACATGCCATGTCCTCTTTCTCTCGGGAGACAGAAGGAGTTCTGAGACCAGTCTGGCCACCGAGTAACCTTTCCCATTGAAAGAAACAAAGAGAGGGGCCGGGGGCACTCAACAGACACACATGTTGGGACCCTGTGGGACTCCAGGTGATGTTTGCGTGCCATGTCCCA